ATTTGTGATATTAACTCCTTACTAGACATACCATTTTGAATTATCTTTTTCTATTCAGTAGACAGTAGTTTCCTTTACTATGCAAAACTTTTTTAGTTTGATATATTTCCATTTATTTATTTTTGCTTTTGTTTCCCTTGCCTGAGAAGATAATATCCAAAAAATATATACTAAGACTGATGTCAAGGAGCTTACTGCCTAGGCTTTCTTCTAGAAGTTTTACAGTTTCATGGTTTCAGGTCTTACATTGAAATCAGAGCGTGAAACTCTAGCTTTGTTCTTTCTCAAGACTTTGGCTATTTGAATATCTTTTTTGTTATAAAGTATAAAATATTTAGACTGGAGTGATAATAAAAATATGTCAGCACTTAGAGGAAAAAAATTTATACCAAAACTTGTCATGATAATGAAAGCATTCATAGTGGATTTACATTTATTAATGCATATATTTTAAAAGGATGACTAAAAACTAACAAGATGAACATTCAACTCAGAAAGATGTAAAAAGAATAATAGAACAAACCATAAGAGGTAGAGGGAAATAAAAATATAAACAGAAAAATATTACATAGAAATGGTTCAATTAAAAGACTAATAGGATCTCATTCACCGCTTAGCCTCCAGACTCCAACTTGATCTGGAATAACTCAGAAAAAAAATTTTAGTTTTTGACACCTTAAACAAGTAATTTTAAACCTCTCTGCATCAAGGTTTTCCTCAATTCTTAACTTCTGGTTTAGGACCAAAAGATCCCTGAGATGTGCCAAGTGTAAAGTATATTTATCAAGAAGCAGCATGATACTGGCCTAAACCTGCTTGAAATTTAAATTAATTTATTAGTAAGTAATCATAGCATCTTGGCTAATAGAATGATCTTTCTAGTCAAATGGCTGGATTTAGATCCTGACTGTACCACTTACTAGCATTGGAGCTTCAGATAAATTTTATGACCATTCTGTGCATTTGTTGTCTCATCTGTAAAATGGGAATAAGAATGACTATCTCAGAGGTGTGCAGATTAACTAATTAATATAACATTTAAAACAGTGCCTGGCCCTAAAGGCACTTTTTAACTGTTAGCCATCATCATCACCATTGTTGATTGTACTTCTAAACATTATTATCATTATTATCTATCAAAAGCTATCTTCATTAGTTCAAGAAAAGGCTTCTGGGAGCCTTACCAGAAAGTCCAAATACAATTTTTAAAGCAGTCCCAATTCAGTGATGTTACATTTATCACCAGTGTTTTGTGAAACTACATTTAAAGGGAATCAAGTACACAATTATTAATCATGTATAGTGTAGCAAGGAAAAGAGTACATAGAATCCACAGTACTTTAGCCTATGTTAATTGCTAATAAAATGGAACGAAATAAGGAAAAGTGATTATTAAATAAGTGGAAAACTCTTGGTGTGATAGAGTCCATTCAGTAGTCTTTGATAAACGATCCAAATGTTATTCTTTGAGACATTAAATCTCCTCCTGTTTATCAATTGAAATGTCTGTTATTTAAAAGCATAAATCCTGGGGGCTTCTCTGATGGCTCAATGGTAAAGAATGTGCCTACCAATGCAGGATACCTGGGTTTAATCCGTGACCTGGGAAAATCTCACATGCCTCAGAACAACTAAACCTGTGTCACAACTTTTTTTAAATTTATTTATTAATTGAAGGATAATTGCTTTGCAGAATTTTATTGGTTTCTGTCAAACATCAACATGAATCAGGCATAGAAATACATACGTCTCTTCCCTCTTGAACCTCCCTCTCATCTCCGTCCCCATCCTACCCCTGTAAGTTGTTACAGAGCCCTGGCTTGAGCTCCCTGAGTCATAACAGCAAATTCCCATTGGCTATCTCTTTTACATATAGTAATGTAAGTTGCCATGTAACCGTCTCCCTAAATCCCATCCTGTTCATTCTCACCCCTGTCCTGTGTCCATAAGGCTGTTCTCTATGTCTGTGTTTCCATTGCTGCCCTGCAAATAATTTCATTAACTTTTGCACCTGCCCTCTGGAGCCCAGGAACTGCAACTACTACGCCCTCGAGCCGTAGCTACTGAAGCCTGTGTGCCCTAGAGGCCATGCTTCACAGCAGGGGGAGCCACCACAGTGGGAAGCCTCGTGCAACTACAGAGTATCCCCAGTAACTGCCGCTGGAGGACAGCCTGCACGGCGGCAAAGACCCAACACAGCCGAGCATAAATAAATCAGATTTTATATATACATATCTGTAAAAGAAAAAACATAAGTCCTTCCATGAGAAGATTGAACTTAATGCTATTAATTATGTTTTATAGTTTGTGATACCTGACTAATCCCCTTACAATGATCAGAATGTTTAGAAAGGCCTAAAACACCTGGTGAAAATTCAAATAAAGCAGTCTTTTGCTGTTTCTCACCTAGCACTACCTACTGCTTGTGCTAAAATGTGAAAAATAATTACAGGTTAAAAGAACAAAGTAATATTGTGGAGCTTTATTCAATGGAAATAGCTTAATTCAAAATTCAGGAAGTTAGTATTAATCTTTAAGATTAATACTGTTCTATGAAATAAAAGTATATAGTGTAGTTTTCATTTGTGGTTTTTCTATTAAAAATACTTTTTTTGAGAGATTTTAATAAACTTATTTCCCCAGAGTTCTCTGAAATCATAAGTAAAATATTATTACTCTTTTCCCATTCATCTTTTATTAAATAAACTCTTAACCATATTGATTTATTCTATTTGGAATTTAAGGATGCCAACAAATCAAATAATGAAAAGTTAATAACAAGAGAGGTAACTAGGACTTTAGCAAAATTTCTAGAATACAAGTTTTTCTGTTTTGGGCATTAAAGACTATTATGAGATAGCAATTTAGTTATGACAATTTTTTTGAGAGAAGGCATAAGTTCCAAAGTAACAACGAGGGAAATTATTGTTAAAGTAGTTTCTGGACCACCTCAGTCAATTTCCTCTAGAAATAGAAGCAAATGAGAGTAATGGAATACAAATTAGTGAAGAAAACAATGTAAATCAGCAATGGATAGTCTGTTCCAGACAATATATTTTTTAATGTGTTAATAAATCACACTTAAATTTTAAAGAAGTTGCCTTCATGTTATCTATGTATTTGGTTTCATCTGAAAGTATTGGATCCTCCTGCAGTATTATCCAGAACTATGCCATTCAGTACATGTACATGTTGAACATGTGGAGTGGGACTGATCTGAATTGAAATGTGCTATAAGTGTAAGAATACACACCAGATAGTAAAATCTTAGTGTTTAAAAAGTAATATGTATAATTAATAATTTATATTGATTATGTGTTAATATAAGAATATTTGGGTGTATTAGGTTAAATCAAATATTCAAATTTGACTCTTTTTCCTTTTGTAAAAATTTTGTTAGTAGATTTTAAATTACATAAGTGGCTCATATTATATTTCTTTTGGAGAGTGTGAGCTTGTTTTTCATGGTGCATTGTGCCAAACAATTTTTTAGAAAAATAGTAACTACCAGTTGTTGAGCAAATGGAGCTATATTAAAATGTGTAGTGTGAGAAGGTGCCAGTGTTTGTACATTGTAAAAAGTGAATTTTCTTCACTGATTTTCATTAGTAGTAAAGAGCTTGGATTATTCATTCATTTGCTTCTTTATTCATTCAGTAAAAGGCCAGTATATGTAAAACACTGAGAATCTCTAACTATGCTAATGTGTCAAGTACTCATACATTGAATGTGTTTAACATATATTGTGCATATAGCACTGTAAAGTACTGTAGAACAACTAAATGGTCAGCTCTTAAAACAGTTGATTCCTTGACTACTAATAAGTGCAAACATCATGTTCTATTAATACTATAAAAGCAAATTTACATTTCAAACCAGCACACATTTGAGGGATTATAACTTAGTTACATTTTTGTTTCTGTTTCTGTCAACTTGTTAAAGTTTAGCTAAGTGATGGCATTGAATAACTACATAGTTTTTTAAGTGGATAGAATTTATTTTATTAATATCTAAAATAAGTACTTTAATGGATAAAATATTTTAGTAGGAACCAAAGATCTTTCCAAGAAATACCTAAGTCAATATGCACTTTTCAATTGAAGTTTAAAAGTTGATTTACAGTATTGTGATTTACAGTATAGTGATTCAGTATTTTTGCAGATTATATTCCATTGCAATTTATTAGAAAATAATGGGTATCATTCCCTATGCTATACAGTGTATCTCACTGTCTTATATATAATTGTCTGTGTCTAATTCATCCTAAACCATAAATTTGTCCCTCCCCTTTTCGCTTTCCCCTTTGGTAACCTCAAGTTTGTTTTATCTGTGAGTCTGTTTCAGTTTTGTATATAATTCATTTGTATTCTTTTAAATTCCACTTATAAATGACTCTATGCAGTATTTGAAATATCTTCATAGGACTAAAGGTATTTCCAAGAGTTTACTAAATCATTCAGCATTTAAGCAGTCAGGTAGTTTTGTCCCTAAAATTGTACTTAATTTACTGTGCTATCATGAGGAACTCACTATTTTCTAAATATTAGTATCAACAATTCCTTGTTGTTAACTGTGAGACAAAAAAATAGGAGTTAAATAATATAAACTGGAAACTTTAATAATTTTTATTAAAATATTTGATGAAAGCATCCTTTATCAAGTAGAGTTTATATTATCAAGTTGGGTTTATCTAATTTTTCTTTTTAATATACCAGGCCCTGATAGAAATTTTATTCAAAAGATTGTTTCTTCTATATACTATAATCATGAATAAAAAATTAGAATGGAAAATAAAAAAAGAAACAAAGTACCTATTGCAAAGTTCTTCACAATACTGAAAAAATTTTCTCATACCAAATTTTCAGGATACTTTTTCATTAACTACTCTGCTTTCATTTATCTACCCTTTTATTTTTTATTTAAAATTTGGTGACCTAAATTCTATTTAAAATTTGACAGTTTTGCTTTAACTTTATGTTCCTTTTATTGCACACATATAGGAAAGAGGGAAAACTTGAATCACCTCAGTATAAACAAAAGAAAGGAATCTACTATGCAAGACAATGAGTAAGTTTGTTTTTGCTGAAATAATATATATGTGTCTTAAAAAGGTCATATTTGTTAAAGTAGTGTTTTAAGAGAAATCATTTCTTTTGAGAAATGAATGTTTTATAGAAATGTTTATCGTTTATAGAAATGAATAGAAAGTTTGTAGTTTCTACTTCCTGAGTAGAACTATTTTTTCTTAAAGGAGTAAAATACTTTATTTATGATGTGTTTTAACAGTGTTCATATGATGGTGATATATGATATCTTAATTTTAATATCCATTTAGCCCAGTTTCCCCCAGCCTATGCTTAAGAAACTAGCTTAGGGTAAAACTGAGGGAAACACCCTCCTTGGATTTACATGGATGGAGAAATAATATATTAGAACATAATGTCTAACAAATAACTGGTTCAGGAGCTAGGAACATAGTGAAGCCAGCAGTAAGGAATCTGGAGGAACCTAGAAGGCTTATTGGCCATCAGTCAACAATTTTCATATTGGCCTGTAAATAGTGCCTTGAATGAAATCGTTCTGTGTAGAAAGCTACTGCCTGTATATTCTGGAAAGAATATTTATATCTATCTGCTTAGGCTGGAAAAATTGAAATAAGCAGAACAGGGAGTTGAATTTTCATAATAGTTCACATGTTCAGCTCATTTACTTTTCCAGCTGTACCTTCTTTGTGCCATACAATGATGGGTAAAGATGAGGAAAATGAGGTATCTACCCATTGGGGGCTTATGCTCTCATGTTGTAAATTAATATACCTTCTCTAACTTAGAAGTGGGTTATAGGTTATGTTTCAAAATATTACTTATTTATTTATTTAAATTGAAGTACAATTGATTTACAATCTTGTATTAGTTTCAGATGTACAGCACAGTGATTTAGTTTTTCATATGTGTGTGTATATTCTTTTGAGATTCTTTTCCATTATAGTTTGTTACAAGATATTGAATATAGTTACCTATGCTATACAGTGGGTCCTTGTTGTCTTATCTGTTTTATGTATACTGTATGTATCTGTTCATCCCAAACTGCTTTTTTATCCCTGCCTTCCCCTGCTTTTCCCTTGATAAGCATACGTTTATTTTCTATGTGAATGTGTTTCTGTTTTGTAAATAAGTTCATTTGTGTCATTTGTTTTTAATTCCACATATAAGTGATATCATATGACATTTGTATTTCTCTGGCTTAACTTCAGTTAGTGTCTCTGCTACTGCTGCTGCTAAGTCACTTCAGTCGTGTCCGACTCTGTGCGACCCCGCAGACAGCAGCCAACCAGGCTCCGCCGTCCCTGGGATTCTCCAGGCAAGAACACTGGAGTGGGTTGCCATTCTCATTCATGCATTCTCCAGTGCATGAAAATGAAAATTGAAAGTGAAGTTGCTCAGTCGTGTCCAACTCCTAGCGACCCCATGGACTGCAGCCTACCAGGCTCCTCCTGGTACTGGGTTGCAACCCTCCTGAGTGGGTTACCATTGCCTTCTCCAGTTAGTATCTCTAGGTCCATCCAATTTAAAGGGCATTTTTTCATTCTTTTCATGGCTGACTGATATTCCATTGGGTTATACCACATGTGGTTTATCCATTCATCTGTCAGTGGACACTTATATTGCTTCCATGTCTTGGCTATTGTGAATAATGCTGCTATGAACATTGGGGTGCGTGCATCTTTTCAAAATAGAGTCCTTTCCAGATATATGCTCAGGAGTGGGATTGCTGGATGATATGATAACTCTATTTTTAGTTTTTTAAGGTGCCTCCATACTGTTTTCCATAGTGGCTACACTAGTTTACGTTCCCACCAACAGTGTAGGAGGGTTCCCTTTTCTCCACACCCTCTCCAGCATTTATTATTTGTAGACTTTGATGATGATCATTCTGAGCAGTATAAGGTGATATGCACTATAGTTTTGATTTGCAGTTCTCTAATTAGCAATGTTAAATGTCTTTTTACATGCCTGTTGGCCATCTGTATGTTGTCTTTGGAGAAATGTCTATGTAGGTCTTGTATCCAGTTTTTGATTGAGTTGTTTGGTTTTTTGTTAGTGACTTGTATGAGTTGTTTCTGTAATTTGGAAATTAAGCTCGTTGGTTCCCTCATTTGCAAATGTTTTCTCCCAGTCTGTAGGTTGTCTTCTCATTTCATTTATGGTTTCCATTTCCAGTGCAAAAATGTATAATTTTAATTATAGCACATTTGTTTATTTTTGCATTACTCTAGGATACAGATCCAAAAAAAATATTGCTGTGATTTATGTTGAAGAGTGTTCTGCGTATGTTTTCCTCTAAGAATTTTATGGTATTGAGTCTTATATTTAGGTCTTTAATACATTTTTTTTTTTGTATATGGTGTTAGATAATGTTCTAGTTTCATTTTTTTAGATGTAGCAGTTCATTTTTCCCAGCACCACTCATTAAAGAGACTGTCTTTTCTCTGTTGTATATTCTTGCCTCCTTTATTGTAGATTAATTGACCATGACTGCATGGGTTTATTTCTTGGCTTTCTGTCTTTTTCCATTGATCTATGTGTCTGTTTCTGTTCCAATACTTTACTGTTTTGATGAGTGTAGCTTTGTAGTATAGTCAGAAGTCAGGGAGTCTCAATTCCTCCAGCTCTGTACTTAAGATTGCTTTGGCTATTCAGGGTCTTTTGTGTTTCCATACAAATTTTTAAAATTATTTGTTATAGTTCTTAAAAAAATGCTATTGGTGATTTTGATACAGATTACATTGAATCTGTAGAATGCCTTGGGTAAGTATAGTCATTCTGACAGTATCAGTTCTTCCAGTCCAGAAACACAGTATGTCTTTCTATCTGTTTATGTTGTCTTCAACTTCTTTGAATTCAGCATCTTATAATTTTTGAAGTAAATCTTTAGGTAGGTTTATTCCTAGGTATTTTATTCTTCTTGATATGATGGTAAATGGGATTATGTCTTTAATTTCTCTGTCTTTTGATGTTAGTACATAAAAATGCAACTGATTCTTGTATTTTAATTTTGTATCCTGCAGCTTTACCAACTCCTTGATAAGCTCTAGTAGTTTTCTGGTGGTGTCTTTAGGATTTTTTGTATATAGTATCATGTCATCTGCAAACATTGACAGTTTTATTTCTTCATTTCCAGTTTGGATTCCTTTTATTTCTTTTTCTTCTCTGATTGCTGTGACTAGAGCTTGCAAAACTATGTTGAATAAAAGTGGCACGGGTGTGTAGTTACTGATCTTAGAGGAAATGCTTTCAGCTTTTCACTATTGAGTATGATATTAGCTGTGGGCTTGTCATATATAGGCTTTATTACGTTGAGGTATGTTCCCTCTATGCCATCTTTCTAGAGAGTTTTTATCATAAATGGATGTTGAATTTCATCAAAACCTTTTTCTGCATCTGTTGAAATATATGAAATTTTTTATTCAACATGTTAATGTGGTGTATCACATTGATTTGCTGGTATTAAAAAATCTTTACATCTCTGGGATAAATCCCATTTAATTATGATGTATGATCCTTTAAAAATACTGTGGATTCAGTTTGCTTGTATTTTGTTGAGGATTTTTTTCATGTATGTTCAACAGTGGTATTGGCCTGTCATTTTCTTTTTGTGTGATATCTCTGTCTAGTTTTGGTATCAAGGTCGTGTTGGCTTCACAGAATGAGTTCAGGAGTGTTCCTTTCTCTGCAGGTATTTTGAAATGGTTTCAGAAGAACGGGTTTTAAATGTTCAATAGAATTCATCTGTGAAACCATCTGGTCCTAGACTTTTGGTTTTGGGCAGTTTTTAAATTACTAACTCAATTTCTGTACTTGTGATTGGTCTGTTCATATTTTCTATCTTTTTCTGGTTCAGTCTTGTGTCTGAATATTTTTAGAATGCATTTTCCATACAAATTGTGTTGTAATTTGTGGTTAAGACCTCATTTCAAGGCTACAAGTCTATTTTTTTCATAATATAGGTAATGTATAGTATTAATCAGTGGTAGTCTAGGTAAAAAAAAAAATATTGAGAATGCCACATAGAGTATAACAGCCTGTATGCACCAGTGCTGGGACACCTCAGGCTAAGCAGTCAACAGGACAGGAATTTAGCCCCACCCATCAGCAGACAGGCCGCTTAACATCCTGAGCATGGCCCTGCCCACCAGGGGCCAAGAACCAGCACCCACCAGTGGACAGAAACCAGTTCCTCCGACCAGGACGCCTGCATAAGCATCTTAGCCTCATCCACCCGATTTCAGATCACAAAAGCAAGAATAGTTGCAGCCCTGCAGCCTGTGGAATAGAAACTGCAATCATAGAAAGTTAGACAAAATGAGACGGGAAAGGAATGCATCCCAGATGAAGGAACAAGATAAAACCCCAGAAGAACAACTAAGTGAAGTGGACATAGGCAATCTAATTGAAAAAGAATTCAGAGTAATGATGTGAAAATGATCCAACATCTTGGGGAAAAACAGGAGGCATATGTTGAGAAGAGACTAAAGAAGATCTAGAAGAACTAAAGAACAAACAAACAGATGAACAATACAGCAACTGAAATGAAAGATAACACTACAAGGAATCAATAGCAGAGCAACTGAGGAAGAACAGATAACTGGCTTGGAAGACAAGGTGGTGAAGATCACTCCCAGGAAACAAAATAAAAAAGAATGAAAAGAAATGAAGACAGTCTAAAAGACCTCTGGGACAACACCTTGAGAAAATATTTGAAACGATAATAGCCGAAAACTTCCCCAGCAGGGGAGGGAATTAGTTGCCCAGGTCCAGGAAGTGCAGAGAGTCCTAGGCAGGATAAACCAAAGGAGAAACACATGAGACACATAGATTTCAAACTGACAAAAATTAAATTAAAATTTTAAAAAATATTAAAAGCAACAAGGGAAAAGCAGCAAAAAAACATACAAGGGAACTCCCATAACATTCAGCTGATTTCTCAGCAGAAACTCTGCAGGTCAGAAGGGAGTGACATGATGTATTTGAAGTAATGAGAGGGAGAAACCTACAACCAAGAACACT